GATCCGTTCTCAAATCATTTAATTCTTCTTGGCTTAAAGTTTTGGCTCTGTAGACGTATTTCTTCGGAATCACTGTCGCTGCTCAATTCATTGGAGATTTCTTCGAATAATGGGTCACGGATGGAAAATATGTTGGAATACGTACTTCCTCTGAATGCGTTAGTCGTGTTTTAGCCGATTCTATGTCGGAGAAATCATTTTTTTAGTTAACAGCACGAAAATTAACCCCACTCCGAAACTCATGCGGCATCTCCGATCACTGGCCCACTGTCTCAAGTGTCCACAACACAGTTTACAAACGGTTTGGGGTATCCCCAGTTTGTATTCATCCAAAAATTTGGATTTGCAGAAGGAAATCTATTTTTGTTACAAAATCACTTAGAGATTTTCGGAACCATTTGATTGTGTATTCACCACAAATATAACAAAATACATTTGGCTCTTTGAGACAACTTCTATTAAAATCAATTTATATATAGAAAGATAAGACGTCAAATGCGCCCACAAAAAAGTATTGATTATAGCTAATATACAAAACTGACGTTCAATTTAAAACTATACGTAAGAAAAGAAAAAAAACAAAATGAAATTAATGTTGACAATAACACCTTATAAATAACGAACCACTAAAGATATATCGGCACCAAAATATATTCTTCTAATTGTTGGCCTGTGTTATTTAATATCAATAAAAATATTAAATATCGAGGGCATTCGGTTGAAACACTGCATGATGAGCTTATGAAATAGCAATTTATAAAGTTAAATACCGTTGAAAATCATTTTTGAAATTCTCAATAAAATGTATGCGAGCCTAATAGTGTTTGGGTAATTAATTTTCCATTTAAATCCAGTTAAATGTCTGCGAAATAACAACAAATGTTTAACAGTGCTCTGGCCATATACACAATGTATACATACATATGTATGTATGTGTGTACATAAATAACCATTAGGGTGGTTATTAAAAATACCAAAATTTTGTATGGGTTGCACCTTTATTTTGTTCAACGTTTAAAATAAAGTCATACATATAAATTTTTGACCATTTTTAACAAAAATTTTATAAAAATAATCGCAGAAATTCGGCAAAGTTTTGACTTAAAGTGTGAAAATTTTGACATATTTTTAATACTTATTCATATAAAATAATAAACACCATGATTCTGACATTTTTAAGCACCACCCTAATATGCAAAGTGTATGTATGATTAGGTATGCATGTACATATTTAGCGTTCAATATAGTTATGTAAGTAAGTTGCGTATACGCTATGGCATGTCATAATTCATGCACATATGGCGGGACAACAAAATTTGCTACACACATACCTATATACATTCATATGGGTTGCAGCAATTAGTGGTGGTAGCAAAGGTTAACTGAAATTTAATTAGGAGGAAAAGATATGAAAAGATAATGTAAGCAAATTCAGTGTAAAGCCCAAAGAGTTTTTGTAGAATATAGTGGAATTAGTGGAATGCTTCAGTAAGCGGAGTGGAGCCTAAATCTTACACTATATAAAAGTTCCTTCTTCGATGGTAGGGAAGCTTTTTGAATTACAGTATTGCCAATGAAA